AGAGGGGCTGGGGTGAAGATACATTAATCTCCTAAGCAAGTGGGAATGGCCATCCACTTCTGGAAGGTACTAACCACATGTCATTGATTGCTGAAATATAAGTGTCATTGTGATAGCAAGCACTACTCCACCTGTTAAAGGGGGTATATGAAGAGAGGGGCTGGGGTGAAGATACATTAATCTCCTAAGCAAGTGGGAATGGCCATCCACTTCTGGAAGGTACTAACCACATGTCATTGATTGCTGAAATATAAGTGTCATTGTGATAGCAAGCACTACTCCACCTGTTAAGTCAGCAAGACTGGCTTTGCTACTGAGAAGAGGCTATTACTGTATGAATGGCAATCTGCAAGAAGGAGTCTTCCAAGATGGCGAGTATAATCATATTGAAGAACACAGACATTTATCTGTTTGAAAATATATTACTACAGGTATCATATTAGAATGAATTTGACAGGAGAAAAGCTCCCATCAATCTGAAATGACTTTTGACTGCTGCAGCTGCCAACGTGCATGACAAATGCAAATTATTGGGAGTCATCTGGTAGTTTTGAATGGCAGAGTCAGGCCAGGTCCTTGGTGGCCTGACCAAAAGTTATTTCAGGTATGACCAGTTCAGAGACTTTTTACGTCAGCCAGTCACAAAAATCAATACTATATTCCCAGTCTGTTTCCATACCTGAAGAAAATCTGTAATTTTAGTATTTACACATTATTACAGATTATTATTTAGGAGATTTTTAATGCTGTAGATTACTGTCATGTGCTATATATGGGGGCTGCCTTTGAAGACTGTCCAGGAACCTCAGCTGGTTGAAAATGTGGTGGCCACATGGATTTTATCAGATCCACGTTGAAAGATATACATTGGCTGGTTAATGGGCACAATTCAAAGGGCTGGTGTTTACCTTAAAAGTGCTAAATGGCTTTGAATGGAGGCACCCAGCCTTTTTTCTGTACTACCCTACCTCAGATATTCCTCACAAGTTACTTACATCATAAGCGCCAGCCTTGATTTGTTGATACAGTCTATGTTGATCTTCATCCCAAAATGGAGGGTATCCCACCAAAAGAATGTAGAGAATAACACCTGGGGAAATCCACAGTGGCATTCATCTAAAATGACTCAACCATGTGATAATGACATGCGTGTGAAAATTTATTGCCCACAGAGTCATGTCTGTGAAGGTCCAACTAGACATGACAGCCTTCACAGATCCAACCCATCACCATTTTAAAGGGATTTTAAAAAATGCTGCAAGAGCCCACAGCATGGTGGGTTGGGGTCTTAACCCTCCCCCCAGCATAACTTTTATGAAATGGCCATAATCCCCCCGCCATGGTCATTCATTGTCTGTGAATATTAGCAGCTTCTAGCAGCAAAATTTTCAGATGAAGAGAATGACTATACTAACAACATTCTATATGAGATCTGAAATACTTTAAAACTGCAACAGGCAGGGCTTAAATGACACACTGCACTGAACTACCATGTACTCCTCCAATTATGTTCTGTTCCTAGATTACAGAATCTGTTTACGTACAGGAAACACTTTGTTTTTTCCACATTTGCGACCACTGAGGCCACTGTACAAAAGACATAAGGACCAAAGACGCTTCAGCTCTCCTGAGAGAAAGTTAAGACATGGTGAATACATGAAGATGCTTTATACTGAGTCAGACCACTGGTCAGAGTTGTCTGCTCTGACTGGCCATGGGTCTCCAGGGTCTCATGCAGAGGTCTTTCATATCACCTACTACCTAATCCCTTTAACTGAAACTTCTTGATTAAAAAGATACACCAAACTAATTGAGAAACCACTCAAGAATTACGCTATAAGTATAGAAAGTTTTATTCACGATGAATTTTAGCCTCTTCATGACAGGCCACGAGCTATGAATTAATGGGGGAAAAGATACATAATTTCACTGACTTGATGAATATTCCCCCCATACTTCAATAGTTTGTGCTTTTCAAATATGTTTGTACCAAGAACAGAAAATAAAGATGGCTATCAAGTGATTCATTTAAAATGTGGACAGATTAAGACAGGTAATCGTGTTTGTCTGTAGCGGTAGAAAAGAGTAAGAGTCCAGTAGCACCTTAACGACTAACGAAACTTGTAGTAGGATATGGAGCTTTCATGAGTCACTGCTCACTTCTAGCGGGATATAAAGTGGAATGATAAATAACTAAATAAATACCATAGAGTCTAGAGGAGGCAGCCTAGAGTGCTACTTGGAAGTGACATCACGGCCTCCCTGAACTCTGCCCTCTTGAGTCACCGCTCCTCAGTTCTCCTTACGTTTGCTGAGTAGAATTGCCAAACTTTGCTTGGCCACAGGTTGGAGGTTGAGCCAGGCGGGAGCAGCATCATGTGACACTGTGAGGTCATTTCTGGCTGAGGAACAAGAAGTGGCATCACCACACAAACTCATAAGACGCACACCTATACACACGATTTGAGGAGACAGTTTGATGCACTGGACTAACTGAGCCTAATTTTCCCAAGCGCTCAGCATTTAATGGTATTACTTTATTCATTTCCACCGGCCTTGTCTTTGGGGTCGATTTCCAGATACTTGATGTTCCAAAGACCTGTTCCTGGGGCTATTTTTGCTAGCTGCTTAAATGATTAACCACTGTAGAAGTGCCTGTATAAGGTTCTTCTTAAAGGGGAAAAAGGCGGACAGAACTTTCCCCGTGGAGGGCGGGACAGGGAAAGCTGATTCTACCCAAGTTGTGCTTGCTTTTTAGTTTGAGACTGTGTGGCCAACTTATTTGACCACCTCAATTTAATAAAGGCGATTTGACGATTTTAGCTAGTGTAACACACTCATATTGGGATAACGTACCCTATTGTCCATGTATGAGCTTTTTAAATAGTGTTGATGTTTTACTTGTTGTTTTTATTGCATAAATGTGTGTACGTGTGCTTAAGACTACTGGTCATGCAAGCCGAAATATATACCGTGTTTCCCCGAAAATAAGACACTGTCTTATATTTATTTTTTCTCACAAAGACTCACTAGGGCTTATACTACAAAAGCATAGAAATCCTGCTAGGGCTTATTTTTTGGGTAGGTCTTATTTTCGGGGAAACAGGGTGTGTGTGTGTGTGTATATATATATTACCACTTTGGTGGGAAGGTAACAGCGTTCCGTGCGCCTTGGTGTTTAGTCATGCCGGCCACATGACCACGGAAACGTCTTCGGACAGCGCTGGCTCTTCGGCTTTGAAACGGAGATGAGCACCGCAACCCTAGAGTCGGATTCGACTGGCTTTTGAGCAAGGGAACCTTTACCTATATATATAAAGGCTTGGTAACCAGCGATGCCTGCTCATATCCATCTTTTATTTTTCGGGACCGTACATTGCCTGGTGCCTGCCAAGTGTTTCTAGAAAGGGAGCAGGGCCCAGTGGGGTTCTGCTCTGCAAGGTTTCTGATTGGCCATTGGAGATGTGTGTTTGCGCATGGAGGTTTTTAAAAACGTCGCTTTGGCCGCAGCAATCACAAGGTGGCTGAAGGTAAGACGTGGCAGCCATTTTGTGGTAGGCTCCGCCTCCTGCAGCAGCCATTTTGTGGCTGTGCCGTGTCAAAATTCCAACGATGCCCCCAGGCTCAAAAAGGCTGGGGACGTCTAGTGTACTGGATTTTTTTAAAAAAATTCACACGCTGTGCTTTCTTGAGCACCAGTGTGCTGTGGTGCTTAGCGTGTCAGATGGGGCTCTGGGAGACCCAAGTTCCGAACCCCTGCTCTGCTGTGGAAGCTCTCTGGGTGGTAATCCTTGGGCCAATCACTTCTTCTCAGGCTAATCTACCTCGCAAGGTTGTTGTTGTGAGGGTAAAATGGGGAAGGGCAGAACGCTGTCATAAGCTGCTTTGGGGTCCCCACTGAGGAGAAAAACAGGGCATAAATATATCTAAATCAGCGGTCCCCAACCCTTTTGAGCCTGTGGGCACATTTGGAATTCTGACGCAGCATGGTGGGTGCAGCAACAAAAAGTACTAACCAGGGCTGACTCTACTTAAGCTTCCGAGGTCTGATGAGGTGGGACTAGCCCTGGCTATGGGTTTTATTCCCCTGGGGGTGAGGTTCTGTTCCTCCCGGATCTGATGCAGCCCCCTTTCCATCTTAAACCCCCCCCCCAGATCCTTCGCTATGACTACCACAATAAGCTAGAAGTGACGGACCACCGCTTCGAAGGCCTAGTCGTATGGAACGGCACCAAGAAAGTGCCCGATTTACAGGACGTGTCCATCTTCATCCTTAACGTAACCTACGATCACGCGGGGGAGTACGTCTGCACCGTCAACCGCACGCTCAACTACGGGGATATGTTCTTCTACAACGTCCTGGTCAACAAGACGATTCACGTTACTGTGGTGCCCACAGGTAAGCGCAAAGGTCTGCGAAAGGGAGAGGGGCCTGGAAGGGCGTTGCAGAGCGAGGAGGGGGAAGAGGGAGCCCCGGCCTGGAGCAGAGCCTCACTGAGATTCTTTGCATCTTATTGTTTGGGCAGTACGTTCGTCTACTGAAGCAACGGCACTTTTATGCATGCTAAATAATGCCATTCCAGTCCACTTCAGTGACCGTTTGCAAGTGGATTTTGCCATTTCACAAGGGCCCTTTCTGCACTGACAGCTTGCTTCAGAGAATCCGAGGAGTCGAGCCTTAAGGGTTGACTTCGTAGTCGCACACTTTCCCTCTGCACTGGTCCCCCCCCCCGGTTTATTTGTGTATTCTGTGTGCAGTCTGCATCTACAAGCAAAACCAACCTTTTTTGAGCTAACTGGTTGCCAACCCCTCCCTCCCTACCTCCGTGAGTCTGCAAAAAAGAAAGGGGGGGGGAGAAATCCAGACCTACACATGCAAGACTGGCACATTTGGGAACAGGAAATCTCCTAGTCCTTTATATTTACTGATTCCTTCTTATGCTTTCTCTGGCTTTTTAAAAGTTTGCCTGAGTGGGAGGACACATCCTCCTTTGTCTTTGGAGAAGGAGGGAAAGAAAACAGAACGGGGAGGGAGCGTCAGCCTAAAGAGAGAGAAAGGTGGAAATGGGGGGAGGGGCAGTGGGCAGCACTTAAATACCCGCAGAGACAATTCTACTTTAGAAAGAATTAGTGATTCGACAGCGGATGAGAAGAAAGCATGACTGGGAGCGTCAGCCTAAAGAGAGAGAAAGGTGGAAATGGGGGGAGGGGCAGTGGGCAGCACTTAAATACCCGCAGAGACAATTCTACTTTAGAAAGAATTAGTGATTCGAAAGCGGATGAGAAGAAAGCATGACTGTAAAAGGAGTTTTGGTAGCTGCGGGGCCATAGTGTGCTGGAAGCGGTCTGAACGCAGATTCCTGTAAAACAGATGCAGAAACAAGAGAAAGCCCCGAAACAAAGTGAAAGTGACAGCGGGAGGGAATGCAGAACGGAAGAACAGGATGCGCTCCAAGACCGAGACAAAATACGGGGGCAGAAAGGGCCACAGGTTGCAAAGTGGATTGAAAGTACATTATTTAGTGTGTGTGAAAGCTCACATGCATGTGGTATGTATATGTGAAGACAATCTTAATTTGGCGTGGCTGAAAACTGAGGACACTTTTAAAAGATTTTTGGCTAGTGTTGGCAACCTCCTGGAGATCTCCGGGAATTACAATTGCTCTCCAGACGACAGAGCTCAGTTTCCCTGGAGAAAATGGCTGCTTTGGATGGTGAACTCTATGGTATTATACCCTGCTGAGTTCCTTCCCCTCCCCAAATCCCACCCTCCCCACGTTTTGGATGGTGAACTCTATGGTATTATACCCTGCTGAGTTCCTTCCCCTCCCCAAATCCCCCCAGGCTGTAACACCCCCCCCCCCAAGATTCCCAGGAATTTCCCAACCCAGCATCAGCAACCCTATTTCTGGCAGCTTTTTAGTCATTATATGTTACAGTAATAAGGAGTGAATAATAATAATGATAAGAGATTGGATTTATACCCCGCCCTTCACTACCCAAAGGTGTTTCAGAGCGGCTTACAAACTCCTTTCCCTTCCCCTCCCCACAACAGACACCCTGTGAGGTAGGTGGGGCTGAGAGAGCTCTGACAGAAACTGCTCTTTTTCAAGGACAGCTGTGCCAGAACTATGGCTTGGCCAAGGTCATCCAGCCAGGTGCAAGTGGAGGAGTGGGGAATCAAACCCGGTTCTCCCAGATTAGAGTCCGTGCACTTAACCACTGCACCAAACTTAACCACTACACCTGTCATAGAGAGCCTGCCCTTTTAACAATATGGCTGCTTCCACATGAAGAAGATGCTGTGGTCTGGTGTCCAGTCCGAAGCAGGGTTTTTGTCTTTGGAGCCTCCACGTGACACATAATGTCCCTTGAACTGATTGCTTCCCAAAACCTGACTTGTTAAAATGTTTTGGGAAATATTGTAGTCGAAGCATGTTTTGTTTCTTTGTGCGGAGAAGAAGGTGTGCATATATTACAGTCCGGCCTGCATTTTCTTCACCCACCTGCCACTGTTCCCTCGTCTTATAGCACCACCGTTCAAATCTTGTTTCAGCTCTACTTCCGAATGTATCTGTGTCTCACACCCTCTCTGAGTGAACTAAATACTCTTAGGAATCAATCTTGTTTTAAACAAGTTCCTCTCAGTGACGTCTCCCCCGCACCCGACCTTTCTGTTGTGTGTGAAAGTTGGCCTAACGAATTTACACCTCGATGTATCTTATGAAGCTTGAGCTCTGATTCCAGAAAGCTTCTGCCGGAATCTGTTCGGTTAATGTTTATGGTGCTAACACAACCCCTGTTGGCGTCGGGGTTAAAGTGTCAGGCTAGAATCTGGGAGACACAGATTCAAATCCAGATTTAGTTATTAAAGCATTTATATCTCGCCTTTCCTCGTGGTTCAAGGCAACTTACAGTAATAGCTAAAAACATTTTCAGTTCCAAACCAAAAATAAAATAAGGTAAAGGTTTCCCTTGCTCGAAAGCTAGTCGAATCCGACTCTAGCCGAATCCGTTTCCAAGCCGAAGAGCTTGTCCGAACACGTTTCCGTGGTCATGTGGCTGGCATGACTAAACACCGAGGCACACGGAATGCTGTTACCTTCCCACCAAAGCGGTACCTATTTATCTGCTTGCAATTTCTTGCTTTCAAACTGCTAGGTTGGCAGGATCTGGGACCAGAGACGGGAGCTCACGGCGTTATGCGGCACACTCGGGTCTCAAACTGCCGAACGACTGACCTTCCACAACCTGCAGTCCAGCGTCTTAACCTCTGAGCCACCATGGCCCCTATAAAAAATAAAGCAGCAAGCCTCAAATCTCTCCCCCTCTTTAAAAAGACGCCTGCCTGTTGAAACTCCCTCAAAAGCCCTGGCAAACCGGCAGGCCTTGCAGTGCCTCCAGAAGGTCTCCAAGGAGGGGACCACCCTCCCCTCACCAAGGAGTCCATCCCATAGAGGAAGAGCCGAGATAGAAAAGGCCTGGGCTCTGGTTGATGCCAGATGGCTGCCTGATGACTGTAATGGTGCACAGGAAGACATGGAAGGAGACAGATTTTGAGTCAAGTGGTACCTATGAGACCAACAAAGGCTTATTCAAGGGATGAGCTTTCGTGCGTCACTTGACTCACAATCTGTTCTGCTGCTTCGGACAAACACGGCTGCCCACCTGGATCTATGGAAGGAGACAGTCCTTCAAATATGTGGGTCCCAGACAGGGCCTTAAAGGCCTTTACTCCGCTGTGGAAGCTTGCCGGGTGGCCTTGGGCCTTGGAACACAGGCTTAGCCTAACGTTCCTCACAGCGTTGTCGTGAGGGAAAAATGGGGGAGGAGAGGATGATATAAGCTGCCCTGGGTCCCCTCTGAGACAAAAGCAGGGTATCAATGGATTAAATTAAAAAGAAAATGAATCCGCCAGCAAAAACAGCTAGGCCGCACCCAAGCCTAAAGAGGGGTGTGTGTGTGTCTGCTTTGCACAGATGGAGAACATAAGAACATTAAGAGATGCCAATGTTGGATCAGGCCAAAGGCCCATCCAGTCCAACACTCTGTGTCACACAGTGGCCAGAAATACCAGGTGCCATCAGGAGGTCCACCAGTGGGGCCAGGACATTAGAAGCCCTCCCACTGTTGACCCCCCCAAGCACCAAGATGACAGAGCATCACTTGCCCCAGAGTTCCTATCTATACCTTGTGGCAAATAGCCACTGATGGACCTCTGCTCCATATGCCTATCTAATTCCCTTTTGAAGCCGTCCATGCTTGTAGCCGCCACCACTTCCCGTGGCAGTGAATTCCAAGTGTTAATCACTCATTTGGAGCTTTTCCAGCATGGAAGGCCCACAACAAATGAAACCAGGAATGGGGTATTAGGTACGTGTGGGTGCGTGTTTGTGTCTTCCGCACGTCCTCATGGCTGTCCTTCCTGTCCTTCCTTTCCCAGCAAACCGGGACATGGCGTCCATCGTCTCCGAGATCATGATGTACGTTCTCATCGTGGTTCTGACCATCTGGCTGGTAGCGGAGATGGTCTACTGCTACAAGAAGATCGCCGCGGCAACGGAAGCAGCTGCCCAGGAGAATGCGTAAGCCTCCTGGGGGGGGGACGAGGAGGGGGGGGGTCTGCAGTGGTTCATGGGGGGGGGAGAGTCAGGCACGAGGGCAGGAAGGCGTGGAGGACAGGGGCCGATACAGCAGGAGGGGAAGGATGCGTGGGGTAAGTAGGCCAAGGGCCCTTTCAGCAGACAGCCCTTCTGTTACTCACTTTGGATGGGAGTGAAAGGTGGAATAGATTTAGTTCAGAAAATGTTTCTGTTCTAGACGTGTGCGTTATACCTTAGGTGTAGCCCTAGGAAAATGTCAATGTGTTGAAGTGGTTTTCAGGAGACCTCGAGGGGGCTGGTCGGGAGAGTTTTGGCAAAGCTGCTGTCTCAAAAGCCAACAATTAGAACCATAGAATAGGAGGGAGAGGGGGCTGTTATTCCACACCTCACGTATCCCCCTTTTCTCTCTCTCTCTCTCTCTCTCTTTTTGCCAACAGCTCTGAGTACTTAGCCATCACATCAGAGAGCAAGGAAAACTGTACAGGGGTGCAGGCAGTGGAATAGCCGTGCAGGACCGTTGGTGGATACAGGGATGCCTGGTTGGCAGGTAATTTTCGTTTACCGTTGTTACAACCGTAGGGGGGGGCTGTGGCTCAGTGGCACGGCGCCCTGCTTTACAGCAAGACGAGAGACAGCACAGCCTAGTGGATAGAGTGTCATTCTAGGATCCTGGGTTCGAATCCCCCCTCTGCCATGGAAGCTTGATGGGTGGCCTTGGAACGGTCACACTTTCCCAGCTTAAACTACCTGACAGGGCCGTTGTCACGAGAAAATGTAGAGGGGGGCAGAAAGATATTTGAGGCCTCTTTGATTCCCCGTTGGGGAGGAAAATGGGATATAAATAAACAAACTGTGAATAGAGGGTACTCGTCTTAACCCTTGACATCTCCAGCTAGAAGGATCTCTGAGAGCAGTGGAAACAGCATGCTTTGCCTCAGGTCAGGGAGAGCTGCTGTCAATCAGAGGGGATGCTACTGGTGTCGAGGAACCAATGTTCTGATTCTCTAAGAGGTCATGGATCACCCTGGCATTTTATTGATTGATCTTGGATATTTTTGTAGCAGTTTTTTAAAGCTTGTGGAACCCGGGGATTTTTGCACACTACACATCTCCCTCTTTCTACCCAGCAGACCTCCGTTTGTTTCCCTGTACAGAATAACTGCACAGGAGCTCAGCAGACCGTTCAGGGGGGAAGGATTTGTACCCGTCATATAGAGAATGGTGCGGAGTTATTTTCTGTTGTCCCAGGAGGTCGGGCCAGAACCAATGGGTTGAAATTAAATCAGAAGAGTTTTCGGATAAATAGGAGGAAGAACTTCCTAACAGTTAGAGTTGCCATCTTCTGGGCATGGAGCAGGGGTCACCGGAGGCATGTGTGGGCGGGGAGGTATTTGTGAATTTCCTGCGTTGTGCAGGGGGTTGGACTCGATGACCCTGGAGGTCCTTTCTAGTTCTATGATTCTATGAAAGTCGCCGGTTCCAAACTCACTAAACCGAGTTGAGAATCTGCACACCCTGCTGTAAGCATGATTTGAAGGAATGGGAAACCCTTTACTACGTTACTGCAAACTAACCTTATGACGACCATTAAAGTGTGGCTAAAAAGCGAAGAGCCACCAGTTGGCAATGTTGATCCTCCCAAGAACCACCCTGTGCAGTAGATGAGGCTGAGGAAGAGTGGTTGGCCCAAGGTCACCTGTCAAACTTCTGGGTCAGAGTGGGGATTTGAACCTGGGTCTCTCAGACCCTGGCTGCACAATATCACCACTTCACTGTCCTGGACCCCAGTATGAATGTTATCAAAGGGGTATAAACTTTTTGCAATTAACATCCACTTTCTGAGCAGGGCCAACATTGCTTAGCAGCTTCTGAGATCTGATGAAATCAGGCTAGCCAAGTCAGGGCATGCAGTTTAACTAAGCAGGCATTAAGTTCTTCCCAAAACATCGGGCGGTTCTGCATTGGCTTTTCCCGCTGTTGTTTCAGAAGGAGAAGAGAAGAAGAGATTGGTGGCTTGCTCACAGCTTTGATGCCAGTAGCTCACAGAGTAGAATTTTTTCTCACGAGATTCCACAGCTTAGAGGTAACATTGCCTGTGAGGTAGGTGGGGCTGAGAGAGCTCTGACAGAAACTGCTCCTTTTCAAGAACAGCTGTGCCAGAACTACAGCTTGCCCAAGGTCATCCAGCAGGTGCAAGTGGAGGAGTAGGGAATCAAACCCGGTTCTCCCAGATTAGAGTCTGTGCACTGAACGACTGCACCAAAGGTGCAGCTCAAAACCACATTCAAATACCCCAGAGCAACGCCATAGTAGGGGTATAAACTTTTTGCAGTTAACATCCAAGTTCGGAGCAGGGCCAGCCTTGCTTAGCAGCTTCTGAGATCTGGTGAAATCAGGCTAAAGAAAGCGCAAGCAGCATGCAGTGCAGAGGGCACCATAAAATCCGATGAGCAAAGAAAGTGACAGCAGCATGTAATGCAGAGGGGAATTTCTGTTCCAACGTGGGTTTGGTATAACAGCGGAGGGAAAAGCCAATGCAGAATCACCCCCTAGTCTTACTTCACATGAAGGGGCTTCCCAGTTCATTCCTCACATTCCGAGCTGGCCCTCAATAGCCATATCCTCACAGGCAAATGCCTGAAGGACCCAGAATGTAAAACAGATGTACCCCAAAGTTTCCCCCTTTCCCTTCTTCTTATCCTGCAACGTTCAATACAGCTGCATCACAACGCTGAGCGAATCTATTTTGATGTGTGTGATGGATTTAAAAAAGCCAATGTGTGATGGATAAAAGCCATCAGCATATTCTTCTATTCATTTGATTTTGCTCAAGGTATTTACATACTGCCTCTCCCAGTGTGTTCAGTTAGAAAAAGGACAATCGACGAATGACGTGAAACAACTGCAACAATGTCAAATGAAACAGCACTGTGTAAAAATAGCATCCAGTGTCATCCTCGGGCAGCAATAATCAATGGGAAGATACAATCTAATTATAAAAGAACGGCATTTTTTAAAAAATCAATCTATATTTAAATGAGCTATAAATCATATAAAAATAGCACCCAGCGTCCTCCTGAGGCAGGGGCATAATCGATACCAGCTTGGTGCAGTGGTTGTAGTGGGTAAGAGAGCCAGCTGGTTGACCTTGGGCCAGTCACAGATCTCTCAGAGCTCTCTCAGCCCCACCTACCTCACAGGGTGACTGTTGTGGGCAGAGGAAGGGAAGGCAATTCTAAGCCGCCCTGAGGCTGCTTGGGGTAGTGAAGAGTGGGGTATAAAAACCAACTCAAAGATACAAATGGAAGTTTCCGAACCATTTTCAAGGGCAGAACCACCAAGCATGTATTACAGTAGTCAAGCCTGGATCTTAAATACATACCAAAAGGGCTGCAAAAGAGTACAATCCATCGGCTTCAAAATGAGCAGCAAACAAGATTCAAGGTCTAGAAAACCTTAAGTTGGAGACCAAGTCCTACGAGGAAAGGCTGAGGGACTTGGGAATGTTTACTCTGGGGAAGAGGAGGTTGACAGGGGACATGACGGCTCTCTTTAAGTATTTGAAAGGCTGTCACTTAGAGGAGGGCAAGGAGCCATTCCTGTTGGCAGTAGAGGACAGGACTCACAAGAATGGGTTTAAATTAAGGGCGGGAAGGTACCGGCTGGATATTAGGGGAAACTACTTACTGAATCTGTTAATTCCAGCTGGCTATCTTACATCGAAGCCAAAATAAGTTCCCTGAATTTATCTCTAGAATCCTAATTTATGCTTTCTGAGTCTGAAGCCTTTTGAAAAATAAAATCTAGTTTATTGGAATCAGAGTTACAAACACTTTATAGCCTGGCTAACAAAACCTGTTCTCCCTTAAATTTGGGGATTGTTCCTAATGCAAACCTTCCAGCAGTATACCTCTGTCAGCTCATAGCTCCAAATTTGCGTAGAGCCATATCCTTGGCTAGATTTAATGTTCTTCCTTCAGCTATCTTATCCGGTCGATTCCAAGGGATTCCCTATCCTAGCAGGTATTGTCCTTGTATGAAGGACTGTGTTGAAACTGTTGTCCATGTTCTCCTCCAGTGCCCGCTCTATCTGGCGGCCCGTCGGGATCTTCTATATCCCATACTAGCCCAGTTTTTAGAGATCCCTGATTATTTTAAGCTCCTTTTCTTGCTTGATAATCCAGATATAAAAATAACTGAAATAGTAGCAAAGTTTGGTCTCACGGCCAATAAGTGATACTATGAATTAGGTTTTATTATGATGCTACTCTTATTATGATGTGAGTCTGCAATTCTAATTTTACTATGCACTATTTTATATTTAGATTACTGTATCTTCATGTATATGCCAATAAAAGTCTTTGGAGTTGAGTTGAGTATTTAGATACCTTTTATATCATTTTAGGCATCACTTGGAGCCTGTTTTTTCTTGATGTTCGGAAACTCTATGTTGCTGACATCCTTTTATGCTTCCTCTTTAGTAGTTAGCTGGGTAAGTTCATAAAGAAGTATTCAAGAAAACATTGATTTTACTATATTGGATTACCACAATAATGTACAAGATACCTAGAAAGAACAGTTCAGATAGTTTGCAAGGTATGTAGCTCCTGTGCTTGGTGGGGGAAGGAAAACTGGGATGGCTGAGTCTCCAGGAAATATATGGAGCTCCTTATGAGCATGCCCTATTCACTGCTAATTGGAAAGAAATTCTGGGCACACCATGTGTCTGTGCATCCAGAGCTGTCCCTAATATGGAGAAGAACTTTTGTCCTTGGGAGCATTACATCAGAATTCTGGATCAGTGCAGCTAGCTAGAATGAATTAGAACGAAGTCTAAACAATATTCAGGCTTCATCTTTGTATTTTCTCAATATCGTCAGTCTTAAGAAAGGGAGTATGTTTATTAATAAAAACCATTATTAATATTGTGTAGTGTTTCATTCCTTATGTGGAACTTAAAAACAAATGCCAGTAGTATTGTTAAAGAAGGCAAACTAAACAATGTAGAGGAATGTCCTGCTTCTTCTTTATGAGCTGGCTAAATTGGTTTTTAAGTATGCTTTGGCCACCCCTTATTTCCATTCCACATGACCACGGAAACATCTTCGGACAGCGCTGGCTCTTCGGCTTTGAAACGGAGATGAGCACCGCAACCCTAGAGTCGGACTTGACTGGCTTTCGAGCAAGGGAACCTTTACCTTTACCTATATGCCAATAAAAGGCTTTGGATGGATTAGAGAAAACTTTTTCACAGTAAGAGTTGTGCAACAGTGGAATCGGCTCCCTAGGGATGTGGTGAGCTCCCCCTCACTGGCCGTCTTTAAGCAGCAGCTGGACAAACACTTGTCAGGGATGCTCTAAACCGATCCTGCATTGAGCAGAGGGTTGGACTAGATGGCCTATATGGCCCCTTCCAGCTATGTGATTCTAGGATTCTTCTAAGTGTCAAACATAACTTGAGGACTGGCCCAGAGTTAACAGTTGGTAATGAAAGCTTTATTCACACTGGTCTCGTGGATTGCCTGAGAATGTTTTGCAGGCCACTGTTTAAGCCACAACAGCACCCCAGTCCGAGGGTCTCAATCTGGGAATGGCTTGCGTGACATCTTAGAATCCCCCAGGAAGCTACTTGAATATGGGACGGGGACACCCTTCTCACAGCCCCAAAGTTGTGCTCTCCTACAGCCCATGAGAGACAATTTCACATCTGCAGAAAGAAGGATTTAATGTGTTATCTTGATCCGTACCTAGAAGTGCGATCTCACCCCGGTTGAAGTGGGGGATTCACCCACCACAGGCTCCCACTGCCTGCTGCCGCTCCAAGCGTAGAACCATATCGTAGTGATTCCTAGAGCTACCCACCATCACTTCTGGATTCTCCCCGGATGTGATGTCATCAAGCCCTGCCCCCGCTGCTCCTCGCCATGTCCCAGCCCCCAACCCTTCTGCTGGTTGCCAGGCCACCCTTTCCATACCCCTAAGAAGCCACTTTTGCAAACTGGCATTTCAGGTTCTGCTTTGGTATGTACCGATCCCAAAACGGCCTCTGCCGGATTGCCGTTACATATAGTCATTTTGCTTCTCGCAGCCTGCAAACAGGTTTGGCAGACCGCAAGGTGAAATGGTTTTGCGTTCTGCTTCCTTCACTTCCTCTCATTTGGTGAAAAGAGCCAGGGAAACAGACAGATGTCCAGAGCAGGCGGAGGAACATTTCTGGGCCGGGCTGTCAACTGATTTGCAGAGCGGGGCTCCCGTGCCTTTAAATAGCTACCAGACTGCGGGAAATCCAGCAGAAGCAGTGCTATTTATTTATTCAAAACATTGAATAATAATATACTTTATTGTCATTGTACATAGTACAACAAAATTAAGGTGCAATCATTCGGTGATCTACAAGCATACTCATATACACTCTCACAACCATTAGGGTTCACATTGCAACTTAACCACCAATGTCACCCAAATTCCAATTCATACAGCATTTAAACCAATAATAGCTCTCGAATAAAAACTGTTTTTTAATCTGTTTGTCCTTGTTTTGATTGTCCTATATCTTCTACCCGAAGGCAGCAGTTCAAACAGGGAGTGTTCAGGGTGTGACAAATCTTGCAAAATGTTCTTTGCTTTTTTCAAGCATCGAGAACTATACAATTCCTCTATGAGTGGGAGAGGACAGCCAATAATCTTCTGGGCTGTGATGATAACTCTCTGGAGTGCTTTCCTCTCCACAGCCGTACAACTGGCAAACCAGACACAGACACAGTATGTTAAAATGCTCTCTATTGAGCAGCGATAGAAAGACATCAGTATTTTCTCACTCATTTTTCTTTAAAAGTCTGAGAAAAAAAAGCCTCTGCTGGGCCTTCTTCACCAGAGCAGTGGTGTTAGTGCTCCAAGTCAAGTTCTGCTCAATAATCACTCAATTTCCATGCCCCCTTTCTACTCAAATAGGTTCCGCAAGGCGGCAAACAGAAAACATTGCGTCATTAAAAAACATTTAAAATAAAGTGTGGGGGTGGAAAGTGCCATCAAGTTGCAGCTGACGTATGGCCTCGATCTGTTGCAAAACGTTTGACAAAAGTGATCTCCTTAAAATGCTAAAATGAGTATTGTCTTGCTGACCTTATGAGTAATCGTATAGGTTCACTATTATATCTTATCCTCTACTTAGACTTTTTATAACATGTATGTATTTGCTTGTTTGATAGTTTACCTTCTCGTCTGTTCTGCTGTATTCTGTTACCTTATGCTGACATCAGAGGAGCTGTTTGATCCGTTCTCGTGGCAGTTCCCTGAAATGCACAGTCAGACAGCAACATCTGTTACCTGCTCCCCAGTCATTGGCCTCCTGTACTCCTTCCTCTTCTGGCATGAATTCCTCAGCAGCGGGAAAAGTCCGCCACATACAGATCTGGGGCGCCTTGCCTGATGTCTGATCATTCTACTGCGCAATCAAGCTGCAATGGAAGGGAAGCATCCCTTCCACTGTGGCGCCATTTCCCCCCACCCCTTAGCAATATGCGCATAACTGCATAAACACTGCTTAGATTATAATGTATGACTGTGCACTCCTGTGCTGGTTTTTTGGGGAGGATCAGGAGCTGGGGGTTCGCCAGGGGTAACTGCGAAGAAAACTACACTTTCTGTTGTTTGTGTTGAAAATAGTCCCCAATCAGGCTTCCCTATTGAGGCCATGTTCCTCTGCCGGAACCTGGGTCACGTGGCAGTCTTTCTTCAGCGGGAAAACATTAAAATGGCAGCGGTTCGTGGAGTTCCTTGGTGGTGATTGCCTGGTGATTCGTGTACGCATTTATGCGCATGCACAATAGACAAGGCGCGAAAACCCCAACCAGCAGACACGCACAGCAAACGTCTGGACAGTCCTCAACGAGGCGACTGTGTGGTGAGGAAGGTAATGGGGGATGTCTGGACATTCCTCTACGGGACACCACAAGAATGGATCAAATTAGGGGCGTGATCAGAGCGCGGTGAGCATGTCGCCTGATCGCGCCCTCTGACTGTTTTGCTCAGCTGTGATGTGTTGGTTTTATGCTTAAGACCTTTGGTCATATGACCAAAATATAAAGGGAAGGTTGACTTACAGTGACCACATAGGACAGGGGTAGCCAAACTGTGGCTCGGGAGCCATATGCGGCTCTTCCACACATACTGTGTGGCTCTCGGCAGGCCGGCAGGGGAAGAGAATGGGAGGCATGCATCCCCAATTGGTCTTCCCTTCCCCAGCCAGTGTTCCCCTCCCTGGGTAGGCTTGAGGTGGGGGGGGGGAAGCAGAGAAAGAGAGCAACTTTAACTTTGAATGCATTCTCAAAGCTCCCGGCATGGGGGTGGGGGTGAGGCTTGGAGGACACATTTAAAGTCACTTTATTTCTACCCCATCTGCTTCCTTCCTTCTTTTCCTTCCTTTTCTTCCACCCTTCTTTCTTTCTTTCTCTCTCTCTCTCTTTCTCCCCTCCCTCCTTATCTAAAGTTAAATGTGTTCTCCAAGCCCCACCACACTGCCACACTGGCCAGCTGCCTTGGCTCAAGAAGGCATTCATCTCTTTAAAACCCTTCTCCAAGCCAAGCCAGCGCAGCAGCAGGGTCAGGGGGCTTGGAGAACACACTTAAAGGCATTCTCCAAGCCCCTGTCCTGCAGCCCTGACCACCAGCTTGGAGAAGGCATTTGTCTCTTTAAATCCCTTCACCAAGCCAAGCCAGCTGGTGTGGGGGAGTGGGGAGAAGACATTTAAAGTTGCTTTCTTTCCACCTCTCCCTCCCTCCCTCCCCATTTATTTGCTTTCTTTCCACCTCTCTCTCTCTTTCTCTCTGTGTCTCTTTCCACCGCTTTCATTCTTTCTTTCCACCTCTCTCTCTCTTTGAAAAATAAATATCATTAGCAAACAAATAAATATCAATATCTGTTTTTACCCCTTTCGTTTTTATGTTTGGCAGTCTCATTTAATGTTAATAAGAAGCAAATTTGCATATTTTTCCATAAAAACGTGTGTGTGATATTTGTTGATGTCTTGTAGCTCTGAAACATCTGATGTTTATTCTATATGGCTCTTACGTTAAGCAAGTTTGGCCACCCTTGCCATAGAATTTTCAAGGAAAAAGACGTCCGGAGGTGGTTTGCCACTGCCTGCGTCCGCATCACAACCTTGCTATTCCTTGGAGGTCTGCCATCCAAAAACTAGCTAGAGCCAACCATGTTTCGCTTCCAAGATCTGACGAGGTCAGGCTAGTCTGGGCTATCTAGGTCAGGGCAAAGCATCTGAACACAGATGACACCAAAACCTAGGGGGGAAGGGGAGGGTATGTCAAATAGAACAAAAAAGTAACCCACTGGCAGGAGACAGCAATAGAGGGAGAAAGCCGAATCTCCCTGGGGAGGGAGTTCGAAGTTTTGGTGCCACGACCGAGAAAGCCCTTCTTGGCTGAAAGAAGGCGGGGCACCTGAAACAGGGACCCCGAAGATGGACCAGAGTGGTTGGGAGAAGGCAGTCTTCTACGATGCTTTGATATCCTCAGAATCTGCACTTGTGAAACCTGCCACTGCTGCCTATCAAAAGGACAAGAAAACCCTTTCAGGCCAGAGACTCATTAGTGTGCCTAATTTCAGGTTCTTGTTATGCGGCGGGTCACCTAATGCGGGTGTTCGTTTACATTGTTCCAGGAACGAAGCTTTGACAGAGAGCCGAGGAGGGGGCGAATGACTCAGCAGCAGCATCGGCGGTCCCTGAGAAGAGCTCATCCGGAGCCAAGCAGCCTCTCCCCCCACCACCACCACCGCACGACCGTTTCGTTAACAAAGCATGCTATTTTTAATAACAGAGCTCTGTATCCAGCCGCCCAGGGACAGACAATCGTGTCTTTTGAAAGAGAAAGGGCGGTTCCCCCCGACGGGCACCTTGCTCTTTTCGACGTGCCCCCCACCATCTCCTTTGCCAGCGGCAAGCCAGGTTCACCCCTTCTGCCCGCAATGCATGATGGGAAAAGCGGGGCATGGCTGCTTGCGCACGCAATGCAAAAGCTTGGCGCGGCCCCCTCCTTGCGGCCCTCCTGGTGCCAGCCAGCCCGTGGCCTCTTTTTTCCGTTGACGGGCACTTCGCACTTTCGGATTTTCTTTTGCATATTTCTTGCGCTTCAGGTTCTTTCAGCGACTTTGCTACCAGCACTTTCTGTGGGTCTGAGGAGAGGAGGCCCCCTGCTGTTTCAACGACCTGTGTCCCCCTTGCCTGTCTCTCCCTCCCCACCATGAGTTCAGCCTCTAGCTTTGTCTCTCCACCCCCAGCAGACGGGAATGGAGAAAAGGATTCAAGATGGCTGCCACATACTTGCTTCTCAGGCCTGACTCACAGGGGGGACACCGTGTCTCAGCCTAGCCACACGGGCCTTTGTTGAGCAGAAGGTCTGTTATGCTCATGTAGGGTGGTACTCTAGATACTACTGGCTGAAGAGGAGCCAAAAACTTGATGTTCTGATAGGATTTCCCCCTCAAGGCTATCACTCTGATGGAGAGGGGGATCTCTTGCTAAAGACAGGCAGAAATGCAATCAGAGCTCTTGAGGGTGCTTCTTCCACCTTCCCTGTCCCTGAACTTTATTACTGTCATGTTCCCTCCTCACATCTCTTGTGGGAATTCGCTCCCCAATCTCGGGACAGATGGATTCCTTCTACGGTGCCGCCATTTCTGTCCTCTCCTCCCTCTGGAGGCGTTTCCTTCCCAGAATCAGCCAGCGAGTCTTCAGTTTGGCTCCTGGGGAACCACAGTGCCCTTTCCTCTCCTCAGACCCCCCTGGGGCTGGTCTCTAGGACCGGCCCCCATCACGATAGAATAGGGTTTGTTCATAAATAAAGATGATTGGATTTCACCTGTTTGGCTGGGAGTGAGTCATTCCTTGGAGGGGGGGGGGGAAGGAGATGTACCCGTGTGGGAAAACAACGTAGGAGTGTCAAACTGATAGAGCTTGGCGAGGGAAGATGTTGACGTCAGTCTAAGATGAAAGGAAGGCGGGGAGTGGGCTGGGAAAGGGAGCCATTTTGAGGGGTTTGTCACCTCACAAATGCCTTTCAATATTCTGGTAGGGGAATTCCTTAGTGGTAGGGGAATTCGTGGGGGTACTCTATGATGTTGTGTGCAATTAGGGTTGCCAGATCCATCTGAAACACCAGTGGGGGATGGGGGGGACGTTTTGGGAGCGGGAAGTGACGTCACGCCTACATCACTTATTAGAAGTGAAGTAGGCATGTCTGTGACGTTGGAGGGTGATGCTCTGGTTTTTGGCCAAAACTCTATGGTAAAATCAGCTTCATACCACAGAGTTTTGCCCAAAAGCCAGAGCGTCAGCCCCCGACGTCACTGACATGCCTGCGTCACTTCCGGGTGACATAGGCACATTGCGTTTATTTCCGGCAATGTTGCTTTTTTGGGGGCCAACTGGCCAGGTGTGGGCAGGAGCCAACTGGGGAATGGCAATCCCAGTGCAGTCTAGGCAGCTTAGCAGTGTATCTGTCGTAGGGTGTGCAGGGCAAAGCAAAGCTCTGTCAAAGCTCTCTGGGAAGAAAGACCATGGGAAACTGGTATCAAAAGTGTGTCAAGGGAGCCAGGGTGGTGTAGTGGTTAAGAGTGGTGGACTCTAAGGTGGAGAGTTGGGCTTGATTCCCCACTCCTTTCCCTCATGAAGCCTACTGGGTGACCTTGGGCTAGTCACCGTTCTCTCAGAACTCTCAGCCCCACCTACCTCACAAGATGCCTGTTGAGGGGAGAGGGAAGACGATTGTAAGCTGCTTTGAGACACTTTTGAGGTAGAGAAAAGCGGGGTATAAAAACCGTCTCTTCAGCTTTGTTAAGTCCGAAGTGCGTTTCTCTCTCAAGTGTGTATCTCCTGCCCAAATTGTCTGGGTTGAGAGAGAGAGAGAGAGAACATTGCCTAGTGTCTCCTACTATAGTGGCCTTGGCCAACGTGGAATTGAGGTAGCCTTAAATACTCTGTACAGCTCTGGTGGCCGTATCTCAGAAAGGATATTGCAGAGCTGGAAGAAGGACAGAGGAATACGGATTGAGATGATTGGGATGGGGAATACCTTTTGAGAGCCAGTTTGGTGTAGTGGTTAAGTGCGCGGACTCTAATCTGGGAGAACTGGGTTTGGTTCCCCACTCCTCCACTTGCACCTGACTGGATGACCTTGGGCAAGCCGCAGCTCTGATAAGAGCTGTTCTTGAAAAAGAGCAGTTTCTGTCAGAGCTCTCTCAGCCCCGCCGACCTCACAGGGTGTCTGTTGTGGGGAGGGGAAGGGGAAGGAGTTTGTAAGCCACTCAGACACCTTTGGGTAGTGAAGGGCGGGGTATAAATCCAATCTCAACTTTTTATGAGGAAAGGCAGAAGGAGAAAAAAGACTCTTTTTTGTAGTATAGAAAAAGATGGCTGGAGGGGGGGGAGATGATAGAGGTTTATAGAATTAAGCATGGGGTGGGGAAACTGGATTCAGGGGATTTTTTTCTTCCTCTCCCATCATAGCAGAACTCAGGGGCTCCCAATGAAGTTGATGGGCAGTAGGCACCTGACAGACAAAAGGAAATACTTCTTTACTCAATGAAGAATCAAATGATGGAATTCACTGCCAGTGAATGTCATGGTGGCCATGAGAACGGGTGGCTTTAAAAAGGGGTTAAACAGATTCATGGAGGGGAGAGGTCCATCAGTGATGACTAAAGGGAATCTCCACATTCAGAGGCAGTAAACCTCTGAATAAGAGTGTTAGGAGATAACACCAGGGGAGGGCCAGGCCTTGACCTCTGTGCCCTGTCTGTTGTCCCTTCAGGCAAACTGGTTGATCACTGTGTGAGACAAAGTGCTGGGTTAGATGTTGTATGTTCTTAACATACATATGACAATATAGTTTTCTGGTGCCATCTTGTGGCAGTTTTTTCAAATCGCACCCATTTGCCAGAAGAGTGACATCACACCACAGGTGCAAACAGCCTCTTTCACAAAGTCACGACTCATTCTGTATCATAGGACATTTTCTTGGCGTCTTAAAATGGCCCGGTAAACATTCTTCTGTTGACAGTGATCCAGTGCCAGCTAGAAGATCCCAGACAATCTGGTTTTGTGAAATATCTGCTCTACCAGGAATCTGGAGTTAAGACAGATAATAACATGTTTAACATCAACGTTGGCCATTCCAATATGCCATCATTATGTTAGATCCAAATGTGCCCCCTTTTTATCTGGGGATAAGCTCTGAAGAAACTTACTCTGCCGTTTTAAAAAGTGTTTCCATTGGAATGTAGAAAAGTGGCTGTGTCTAGCATTGATTGGCTAGCATCTGCAACATCACCAACACTCTTCTCACCAGTCAAGTTTGCGGGGGGGGGGGGGGGGGAGCAAAAAAAAGGGGCAGAGATGAACAGTGCACTCAGAATTTAAAGAGATTTTTTCTTAACAATGATTTTGTTCTTTCACTCAAAAAGGACTTTCCAGATTATCGGTTGGTTTGTTCCCTGGAGAGGAAGCGTAAAACATCTCTACATTAATTAAGTAAACAAAATAAATGTAATTTGAATATTGCAGGAGATCCAGCTATCACCCTGAAACATGGCCCATTTCTCCCCATATGTAAAGGGAAAATATTCACCCATTGAATTTCTGCCTGGCATGTAGATCTTAAAGGTATAGAGCTTGTTTGTTTTAAAAAGCCTGCCTGATTCATAGGGTCTCCATAAATCAGAAGCGAGGGTGCCATTGAATGGAATGCAGCTCTGCTAATTTCTCTTTCACTTTCATTTCAGCTATTCATAATGTAAGACACTAGTAGGATTTTGTTTCCAATAGGGTGGACTCCATGGCATTATACCCCGCTGGAGACCCTCCCTTCCCCAAACCCCACCCTGTCCAGGCTCCACCTCCAAAATCTCCAGGTATTTCCCCACCCAGAGCTGACTAATCTAGCATCAGCTGAAAGCTGTCAGGTGCAGATCCTGATAGGGATCTTCAATCAAAGGTAACTGGGACCCCTCCCATCAAGGGACGTTTATCAGCCTGAGGGACAGGCTGTGTAACTTTGCTTCCTACCTGATCACTGGTATAGCGTTCCTGGTTCCTGAAGAACTGCATGCACACGAAAGCTTATACCCAGAATTAAATTTTGTTGGCCTTAAAGGTGCCACTGGGCTCAAACTTTGCTCTCCTGGTCTCTACCATTTCAGACAGCCGGTGAGACTCCCCGATGGTGGAAAACTAGCTCTAGTAGGGTTGCCAGGCCTGGGTTGGAAAATACCTGGAGACTCTGGGGATCGGTCCAGGAGAGGGTGTGGTTGGGGAAGGGGAGGGGCGGGGCCTCAGCAAGGTATAATGCCACAGATTCCACCCCTTCAAAGCAGCCATTTTCTCCAGGGGAGCTGATCTCTGTCAGCTGGAGATCAGTTGTAAAAGCGGGAGATCCCCAGGGCCGGTCTGGAGGATGGTGAACCTAAGCTCTAGCCTCTCTCTCCTTGACAAGCTAGTTTTCTGCATGGAGGCCGCTGTAGTTTTCAAAAAAGGGGAAGTGTTTACCTATGCCAAAACCCATGTCCTGACGCAAGAGAGCTCACGTAAATCACATATTACTATGTGTCGATTTGCATCGGGTGGAAATCTCCTGAGTAAATTGGGTGTTAATGATTTCTTTTTTAGCAACAGGAATGGGCTTCACCACACGCACGCACAAACTGCAGTCCTGTGTGTGCTTAAAAAGGTAAAGGTTCCCTTGCTCGAAAGCCAATCGAATCCAGGGTTGTGGTGCTCATCTCCGTTTCAAAGCCGAAGAGCCAGCACTGTCCGAAGACATTTCCGTGGTCATGTGGCCGGCATGACTAAACACCAAGGCGCACGGAACGCTGTTACCTTCCCACCGAAGTGGTACCTATTTATCTACTTGCAATTTCTTGCTTTCGAACTGCTAAGGTGGCAGGAGCTGGAACTAGAGATGGGAGCTCACTCCGTCATGCGGCACCTGGGTCTCGAACTGCTGAACTACTGACCTTCCACAGCCTGCAGTTCAGCTTCTTAACCACTTGAGCCACCGCAGCTCCTATCTGTGTGTGCTTACTTGGCCGTAAGCCTAGGGTTGCCAGCTCTGGGCTGGAAAATTCTGGAAATTTGGGGGTGGGGCCTGAGGAGGGTGTGGTTTCAGGAGGGGAGGGGCCTTAGCAGGCGATTAGTTGGAATGTGAGGCATTGTTCAGTCCCTGCCTGGAGATTGGCAACTCTAAGCAAGTCCCACTCAACTCTCTGGGACTTACTTCCACATAGACATGCCTTGGGTAAACCTCTGGAAGGATAACATTTCCCACCAATTTATCTTGATTCCCACAAGTTTGACTTTTCACCAGCCACTATGGAAGCAAACCCCTTTAATCTGAATGCCTTGGGTCTCTGGGGGAGTCAGTCCACCACTCTTCTTAATTCAGCATGGATCAGGGCCCCACACTGAAGTATGCCCTTATCAGTCCCTTATCTGTCTCTCTGTCTTTTCCGTCTCTCCTTGTCCTGCCCCGCAGCCTCTGTCTTAAAGGTCTATTTGGCTGCTAATGAAAATTCACATTCACCTCCCCCCAACTGGAGAGGGGGGTGTTGGTTGGGCAGAAACCAGTCTCTGCCAGAACAGAAGGAAGGAAGGAAGGAAAATAGAAAAGGAGAGAAAGAAAGAAAGAAGATAGGTAAGTACAAATTTGAACAGGAAAAAATGTGGGTAGAATTGGATCAGTTTAAGAAAGGTGTATAGGGGAATCCTAACAGGTACACGCCGGGCATTTATGCGAGGAAGAAAGTAGCTCTCAAACGATTGTGTCACCTGCTGAAATGCGACCAAAGTTCTGTTTCCGAGAGGGAGGAAGGCTATTCCTAACTGTTTGTCTCAGAGATGCAATAACTGACCACCCCTAAGCATGGAATTTCTCTTTCATTTCACCTTGTAGCCATTGGAGAGTTGTTGTACGGGTCGTTTGTGTACCAAGTTGACCCAGAAGGCCTTCCCTGGGCCCCTCTGCGTGCATTGAAGAAAACTACTCTCTGTGCATGCTCTGGGTGCTCTTTTTGAGAGTAACTGTGCAGGATTCAGACTCAGCCATGAGCCTTAGAAGAAAGTCAGGGGTTATAATGATTCTGGGAGCCTCAGGGGTCTGTCCTTACTCTTTCGACTTTTAGCCTTACCAACCTCCAGGCGGGGCCTGCAGATCTCTCAGAGTTAACAGGTGATCTCCCAATGACAGAGTTCAGCGCCCCTGGAGAAAATGGCTGCTTTGGAGGGCGGGTTCTATGAGTGCCACTCCCTCCTTAAACTCTGCCCTCCCCAGGTGCCACCCGCGAAATCTCCAGGAATTCCCCGTCCAGTATTGGAAACCCGAAAAGCATGGCTTCGATAAATCTCACTGCCGGTGCTCCCCGCCCATTGCAGACCCCCTTTGCCCTGCTGCTGTTTTGGAGGGTCTGCTGAGCCCCAGCAACAAAATTGGGAGGGGGCAAACCATGCCCTCCCCTTAAGAAGACATCAGGATCTGGATGTGCTTGGTGGAAGACAGGCTACCACCAGGGCTATTTTTGGGCAGGAACGCACAGGAACGGAGTTCCGGCTGGCTTCTAAGTTGGCCACACCCAGCAGGAACGCATTAGCATAATAGGCCACACCCAACAGCAGAGACTCATTAGGATTGGCTACATGAGGGGTGTGTGGCCTAACATGCAAAGGAGTTCCTGCTCCAAAAAAAAGCCCTGGGTTTTGACAACAAACAAGGTAAACAGAATAAGAAGCAAAAGGTGGGTGTGGCTGGATGAGCACACTTCTAGTAACATGGGGGTGTGGCCTAATATGCCAATGAGCTGTGCTGTCACTGGTGTGGCCAAATATGCTAATGATTTTCTGCTGTTGGGTGTGGCCTATTATGCTAATGAGTTCCTGCTGGGCTTTTTCTACAAAAAAAGCCCTGGCTACCACGACAAAAAAACACTGTGTTGTATTATGTATACTGTGTCTCTCCTATTCAGAGGTCTCCACCCTGTCCATGAATGGGGTTAGGAGTGGACTGCCAGCCCCAGGTGGGGCCCGGAGACGACAGAGATCAGTTGCCCTGAAGAAAATGGCTGCTTTGGAGGGTGGGCTCCGTGGCACTGTACACTGGTGCTGAGGCCTCTCTCATTCTCAGGACCTCCCAGCCGTCCGATCCTCCCACTCCAGGCTTCACACCCGGATTTCCAGAAATTTCCCAACCCAGAGCTGGCAACCCTAAATGGGGTGTGCCCAGGGCTATTTTTGGGCAGGAACACACAGGAACGGAGTTCCGGCTGGCTCCCAAGTTGGCCACAGCAGGAATTCATTAGCATAATAGGCCACACCCAACAGCAGAAATCCATTAGGATTGGATTCATTAGGGGTGTGTGGCCTAACATGCAAAGGAGTCCCTGCAACAAAAAAAGGCCTTGGGTTTTGACCACAAACAAGGTAAACAGAATAACAAGCAAAAGGTGGGTGTGGCTGGATGACCAAACTTCTGGTAACATGGGGGTGTGGCCTAATATGCCAATGAGCTGTGCTGGCAGGGGTGTGGCCTAATATGGTAATAGATTTCTGGTGTTGGGTGTGGCCTATTATGCTAATGAGTTCCGGCTGGGATATAATGCCACAGAGAGTCCACCCTCTAAAGCAGCCATTTTCTCCGGGGAGCTGACTTTGGTGGTCTGGAGATCAATTGCAATAGTGGGAGATCCCCACGTGCTGCCTGGAGATCGGCATCCCTAGATTGGGGCCATACAGAGGTCATTTCGGGGGGGATCGTGGGGGATCGCAGTTCCCCCAGGTGAGGTGCAGGGGGCGGGGCACATGACGAAGCCCCGCCCCCTGCTTCCGGCCGCCCTGCTTCCAGCCCTCATTCAGGAGGAGGAGGCAGGAGAAGAGGGAGGGTAAGTTGCTTCCTCCCCGCCTCTCCCCACCCCTGCCTGCCTGGGGCCAGGGAGGGCCTTGGCGGGGCTTCCTCGCACTCCCGCTGGCCTTGCAGGTCCACCGCCGGGCCCCAGATGTCAGGGGGTGTGGCATATGCTAATGAGTTATGCTAATGAGTTCCCCTAGCTCTTTTTCTACGAAATGACCCCTGGGGCCATAGTGCAGAAAGATGGGCGTTAACCCTCCCAGTGCAGTTATCAACTCTCTCCACCCCCAGCTGTTATTCCTCAGAGGAGAAAAGATAGAAACTGCCTGTTTTGTTTTAGTTTCCTAGCAGGGTTAATAACCCTTACAGTGGTCAACTCCAGGTTGGGAAATTCCTGGAGATTTGGGGGTGGAGTCTGTGGAGGACAGGGTTTGATATGTAAGCCTCCCTGAGCCCGTTCGCGGGGAGGGCGGGATATAAATGCAATTAAATAAATAAATAAATAAATAGAGGATGAGAAGGCCTTAGAGAGGTGTAACGCGACAGAATTAACCCTCCAAAGCGGCCATTTACTCCAAAGAAACTGATCTCTGTATCTTGGAGATCAGTTGTAATTCTGGGAGATTAGCAACCCCAAATAACCTTATGGGGATGGGGAGGGCTTAAACTCCATCGGGTTTCCTACCCCATGACCTCTGTCTGAATCAGGGCCCTCCACAGCTGCAGTTACCCTTTTAGAATATAAGGAAGATCTGTTCATAGACCTAATGAGATCACATCTGTTTGGGTTCCTCCTTGGCAACGCATCCCATCGAAATCAACAGATCTTAATTCCAAGTAATCGTGGTCGGGATCTGGGTTTTTTTGGACTTGAAAGGACCCTTTGTACAGCCTGACCTTAGCATGTTCTCTCTGAAGAAAGCCCTTTTGATTTAATAGGGACTTTGGGTTTAACTGGATAGGACAATGGGCAGATTCATGCATAGATTTCCTACTCTTTTTATAACGGCAAGATAGCAGCTGCAAAAGCCGCCCGCTGTCATGTGGGGTTATGGTGTGGGGCAGGTAGTAGATTAACTCTTCCCTTCACCCCATTCTCACAATTTCAGTCTCTCCCCATGCAAGGCTGTTATTCGAACAGAGGCATGAAAACATACAGACACCTCTAAGTATACTCCTGACCGGGAATGCATAACATGGTGCCTTTCCTGATAGTTGCCAAGTGTTTTTAAAAAGTGGGTAGAGCTAGGTAGGGCTTTTTTGTGCAGCAAAGCTTCTGATTGGTTACTGGCCATTTGACTGGCTGTAGATTTTTAAAAATGTTGTTTAGGTAGCAGCTTGCCCCCACACCACACCGATCTTCAGTGTGTGACTGGAGGTGGCTGACTCTACCTCATGCAGCAACCATTTTGTGGCTGCACCCATCATGCTCTGTCAGAATTCCAAATGCCCTCGCCAGCTCAAGAAGGTTGGGGACCCCTGCTCCTGGCCATATGCAGAGTACTTTTCCTTTCCGTGTGACCAGGGATCATTTCCTGCTGGAGCGCACAGAAGCGGAGCTCCGACAGTAAGGAGCCCAGGGGGGCGGGCACATGCAAGAAGCCCCGCCCCCTGCTCCCAGCAGACCTCAGTTGGGCCACGAGGAGCAAGAAGCAGCCAGGTAAGTTGCAGAGCCTCCCCTCGGCCCGCCTTCAGGTACAAACTCTCTCTCCTCTGTGAGGGTAGATCTGCGCATCATCATCCCCCCATAGCTAGTAATCCAAAACAGTCCAGTGGCACCTTTAAGACCAAGTTTCATTCAGACACAAGCTCTCCCTCCTCTGTGAGGACAGATCTGCACGTCCCCCCCCCCATAGCTAGCAATCCAAAACAGTCCAGTGGAGCCTGAGTGGTGGGTGCTGCCTTCTGACACACTTCCGGTGATGTCAGGGGGTGTGGTGTATGCAAATGTTATGCTAATAAGTTATGCTAATGAGCTCCTGCACCTCTTTTTCTACGAAATGACCCCTGCGCGTGTCAAGGAGACTGGCTTTTCAAGGGTCCAGCCTGACATTCTGTCCAGAAGCTGGCCAGAGGGGAGAAGGATGGGGGAAGGAGAAGCCAGCAAGGCCTTCCCGTCCTTTGGCAACTCTGGTCCCTCAACTGTGCTCATTTTGAGCTTCTTGTCTGTTGTAGGCTGCTGGAGAGAAGCACTGGTGCAATGAGCCGGTAATGCCCAGCTAGGAGCCTGCCGTGGCAGATTTGCCTTATCAGAGGTTGAAGGGACAACGGTCGGTCGGTCGGTAACAGCTACCTGGCCCGGAGCAGATGATGTCGAGCCCTAAGCGGCAGCGGGCGGTGCCTGATCAGCCTGTGAAAGCGGGCCCCAACCAAGAGGTGCCCACGCAAGTTCAGCTCCCCGAGGGCCTCTTTGAATTCCCGGCCTCCTATCAGGAGCTCTTTGAGTTCTTCTGCACTCACAGCACAGTTCACGGCGCCATCCGCTTGGTCTGTCCTGCCGAGAACAAGATGAAGACGACCTTCTGGACGGTGCTCTTCTTGCTGACCGTGGCTGTTCTGTACTGGCAGTTTGGGGAGACCCTCCAGGGCTACTACAGCTACCCCGTGAACCTGAAGATCAGTCTCTGTTCGGACAAACTGACGTTCCCCGCCATCACGCTGTGTACCCTCAAGCCCCAAAGGTGAGAGGTGGCGTCAAGGGGGTGGCTACGGTCGACTCTGCCTTGTACAAGAGCACAAAAATACATACACGGTACATGACGTCAACAGGGATGATTTTTGTTGTTTCTCGTAATGCTAGAGCAGGGGTACCCCATGGACACCTTGACGTCTGCTGGCCCCTTTCCTGGAGCCCTCCAAGTGTTTTTAGAATCGTGAGTGGGGCCAGGTGGGGTTTTTGCCCAGCAGGGCTTCTGACTGCGGTTGCCATCCCCCTGATGGGGGCAGGTTTTTTCCTGCTTTCAGGGGCCCCAATCCGCTGGTGGCCAGCTCTAGCATTTGGGTAAAAACACCATAGAGTTCAGGGGACGCTCTAGCATTTGGAGGGAAATCTCTATGGTCATCACAATAATGACCATAGAGGATTTCCCCCCCAAATGCTAGAGCGTCCCCTGAACGACGTGCCTGGCACAATGACCTTGGGCAAGCCATAGTTCTGTCAGAGCTGTTCTCTCAAGGGCAGTTTTGTCAGAGCTCTCTCAGTCCCACCTATCTCACAGGGTGTCTGTTGTGGGGAGGGGACGGGAAAGGAGTTTGTAAGACGCTCTGACTCGAAGTGAAGGGTGGGGTATAAATGCAATCTCTTCTCCTTCTCCTGCTGCCACTGCCGGGACGCAGGTAAGACCTGGCAACCTTACTTCTGATTGGCCATTGGAGATTTTATTGGTGGTGCAGATTATTTTTAAATGTTGCTTTGGCAGCATTTTCCACTTTGCTGTGTGACTGAAGGTAAGCGGCAGCGGCCATTTGGTGGCTGTCTCCACCTCCCGCGGTAGCCATTTTGTGTCTGTGCCCATCATGCTGTGCCAGAATTCCAAGGCGCCCACAGGGTCAAAAAGGTTGGGGACAGTGTTCTCTCTAGCTCACAGGTTTTTAGCCTCCGGCTCACACATTTTTGTCTCAGCTCAGGAAGGATGGCTCCAGAGCCAACTAGTTTATGCAGTAGCCAAATTGCTCCCTCACAACTGTAATGCCAGTAGCTCACAAAGAGGAGTTTATGCTCACAGGACTCCACGTCTTAGAGGGAGCATTGGTTGGGGACCCCTGTGCTAGTCCCAGGCAGATTAGCAACCTAATTTATAGCCTTTCTTAATGAAATGTATTATTTTGCTAGTTTTTTTAAAAAAGTTCTCGTTGATACCATCCCATTGTGTTGTCAACCTGTGGTTTTTTAAAATTGTCCTTACATTTTTGCTTTGTTTGGAGGGTTTGATTTTTTTAAAAGGATTTTCTTAGGCAACATCATTTCAGAAACCTCTTACCGTGGCCTGTACTGTCATATTTTTATATTTTTCCTTCCTAAGCTAAGGAAAAGGGGGGGGGGAGCAAATGAGTCTTGTGCCACCTTTGAGACTAACAGACTTATTGAGGTAGGTGTTTCTGTGGACTAAGGTCTGCTTTATCAGATGCAATAAGTGTATCCAGGGGTCATTTCCTGCAGGAACGCACAGGAGGGGATCTCAGGCAGTAAGGAGCCCAGGGGGTGGGCACATGCAATAAGCCTTGCCCCCTGCTCCCAGCAGCCCTCAGTCGGACCACGAGGAGCAAGAAGCAGCCAGGTAAAAGTTGCAGAGCCCCCCCTTCAGGTACGAGCTCTCCCTCCTCTGTGAGGGCAGATCTGTGTGCCCCCCCCCATAGCTAGCAATCCAAAACAGTCCAGTGGCACCTTTAAGATCAAGTTTTATTCAGGTACAAGCTCTCCCTCCTCTGTGAGGCCAGATCTGCATGCCCCCCCCCAATAGCTAGCAATCCAAAACAGTCCAGTGGAGCCTGAGTGGTGGGTGTTGCCTTCTGACACACTTCCGGTGATCTCAGGGGGTGTGGCATATGCAAATAAGTTGTGCTAATGAGTTATGCTAATGAGCTCCTGCACCTCTTTTTCTACGAAATGACCCCTGAGTGTATCCACTACACATGTATACACATTATATGCATGTATATATGGACATAGGGGCAGATGTACGTACACTTGATGGGGAATTACGGAGGACAGCCTCCAGGTGAGACTTGGGGATCCCCTGGAATTATACCTCCTCTCCAGACTACAGGGATCAGTTCCCCTGGAGCAAACGGATGCTTTGGAGGGTGGCATCACACTCCACTGAGGTCCCCGTCCTCCACAGGCTCCATCCCCAGATCTCCAGGAATTTCCCAGCCTGGATCTGGCAACCCTACCCCCCCTCCCCTCCGGTGGGCCCTGGCAACCCTATGGCCAAAAGGCCATGAAATGTAGTGGTTAGAGTGCTGGGCTAGGATCTAGGGAATCCAGGTTCAAATCCCCATTCGTGCCATGGAAGCTCGCTGGTCGACCTTTGGCCAGTCACATGCTCTCAGCCTAACCTACCTCACACGGGGATGTTGTGAGGATAAAATGGAGGAGAGGAGAATGATGTAAGCCGCTTTGGGTCGCCGTTGGGGAGAAAGGAAGGGTATGAATGACATAAAGAAAATTAACGGGACTTCAGCAGTAGAGTACGCTTACACTTCTGGCTCCGCAGTGAGGAAACCGGGGCTGTAAGTGCAGACAGTATGCTGGTGTGAACAGCTGCCGTTTTGGGGATGGAGCTGAAAACACAGCTTGAAACAGGGAGAGGGGTCCCAATCCATCTCGTTTCCCTTTGGCAGGTACAGCGCTATCCAGGAGGAACTCAAGGAATTGGATCGCCTCGCCCACCAGGCATTGAAAGACCTCTACGGCTTCAGGAAGGCCCAGGAGCACACCCCGCCGGAGCCCCGGTCTCCCCACGTCCTCCGCTTGGCTCGCCATATTCAGCGCCACCCGTTGCAACATTTAACGGCTGAGGATCCAAACAGCCTTGGGGGGAACGGCCACGATGGGGGAGTGGGCTTCCTTCTGGTGCGTGGGGCCGCCCTGCCCTCTGGTTCCAGGGTTATTCTAACATGCAGCTGGGGGTTGTGTGGTACTAGTGAGAGACAGGACGGTGCAGTGGAGCCTGGGTTTCCATCAATGCGCCCTCTAAGCTGCGGAGTCTTGTGAGCAAAAATTCTACTCTGTGAGCTCCTGGCGTTAAAGTTGTGAGCGAGCGATTTGGCGACTGCATAAATTAGTTCGCCCTGGAGCCCTCCTTCCTGAGCGAAGACAAAAATGTGTGAGCCGGAGGCTAAAAAACTGTGAGCTGGCTCACACTAGCTCAGCTTAGAGGGAACACTGGTTTCCATGTAGTTGGGTGCACCGAGCTTAATAAAGAGCTAGGTTGTTTCTTTAAAAAATAACTCTGGCAAAGTGTTCAAGACAAAAAGAGAGAGGCAAATCTTGTCTTTTTGTCTCCCTCCCTCCTTGTTAGAAAAGGTTCTGCAGGATGTGCTTACGGATTGTTAGTAAATGCAGTGGCTCCTTGTACAATGCAGGGAAGAAAGGTTAGCATGAACCCCATGGGATCCTTGTGAGTTCCTGAAGCTCCAATCTGCACTTTGCCAAGTCCTTGTGTTTGTTGGGGAATAACACAAGGACTTTGCATCACAAGGATGATGGGAGTTTTGTGCCTCCCAGATCCATGCCAGCTCTTTTCTCTTTGTGACCACAGCATAGAGGGAGGAATGGCTTCAGCTAGTGCTGTTTTCACCTCATGGAGCTGCTATTGGCCTCACTGTAAAAATCACGTTATTTACATGGTCCCCAGTGCCTGCCAGCACCTTTCCCGGGGCCTACCAAGTGTTTTTAGAAAGTGGGCAGGGTCAGGTGGGGCTTTTGCCCAGCATAGCTTCTCATTGGCTCTCAGAGACTGGATTTTTCTGTGCATATTTTTAGAAACATTGCTTCTGCGGCAGCTGCCACCACAACACAAGGGTCTTCACTGTGTGGCTGAAGGTAAGCTGCGGCAGCCATTTTGTGGTTGGCTCCACCTCCGGTGGCAGCCATTTTGTGCTGTGCCCACCACATTGGGTCCAAATTCCAAAGGTTCCCATGTGCTCAGAAAGGTTGGGGGCTCCTGCAATAATGGTTCCACGGAGGTGGTTTTGAGGACATGAAAACAGTGTGTGTTGGGGGGGGGGAGGGAGGCTACAGTCGCTTTCCCCTCTGCGTTGTGGTCACAAACAGAATCAGACATGTGAAACAAAGTTTTTGCATTGTTCCCCCAACAAACATGAGGACTTTGAACTGTGTAGGCAGAATTTCAGTTAGCTGGGAATTCTGTCGACGTGCTGAACAGGATTGCTTCTCTTATCAGGTGGAGCGGGCTAGTTCCATGCGCCTTCCTCTTTAGGCGATGTGTCCACAGGCTCACCTGTGGCACATCATGCGCCACATCCTGGGAATCTGAAGGCTACTTTCAGACTTCTGTAGGCCAGGATCTGATACATCAGTTATCTGTGTTAACTTTCTGCTCACGTTCGTTGGTTGCCCTGACACTTTTGGGCGCTCTCCGTTTCCCTTGCAGTGTAATGAAACCAACGGAGACTGCTTCTACCAAACTTTCTCTTCTGGCATCGATGCTGTCCAGGAGTGGTACAGATTCCATTACATCAATCTCCTGGCACGGTTACCCAGTGACCAGGTGCTGGACGAAGACAGCGACGCAAACTTTATCATTTCCTGCCGCTTCAACAAGCAACCCTGCACCAAGGGGTAAGCTCCACATTCTGAAGGTGGTGTCTCCTTGTGCCTGGGGAGAGGCTGTGATTCAGTGGTACGGCACCTGGCTCAATCCCTGGCATCCCAAATGAAGAGGGTCAGGTCACAGGTGATGTGGGAGACCTCTGCTCTAGACCCCTTAGAACGGCTACCAGTCAGAGCAGACAATACTGACCTTGTTGGACCAGGGGTCTCATTCAGCCTAGGCAAGCCTGATCTTATCCGAACTCGGAAGCTAAGCAGGGCCAACCCCGGCAAGTATTTGGATGGGGGACCTCCACGGAATACCAGGGCCGGAGGCAGAGGCAGGCTATCGAACC